TCAGAACAGTTATTTATCATAGGTCCAGAAGTATGCTGTTGTTTAAATTGATATTTTTCAGAATTTTTGATATTTAAAATTATTGGGGTGTTAAATATGATACTTTCAGTATAACGTTTTACAGTTTGTTGTAGTGGTTGTCCTGATTTTCTAACAAATTTTTTTAAAACCTTCATATAATTCTCAAAGGGAAACGCTGAACAATTATCTAATGAATCAAAATTAATAAAATCTTCATGAATATGCTGTAAGCAATGCATATTGTGGGACATCCATTCTTTTCCATAAATAATGATAAATTGTTCAATAAAGTAATTAATAAGTGATTTAGTATAGTTTGTAAGTTGGCTAGTATACTGTTTATGTTTACCTAATAAAATAAATATTGACACATTCAGGCATAAAAAGTTGAAATAACATTTGTCATCCAAAATAAATTTTAAGACTATGGGACCAGTATAAATCAGAAAAAGTCTAAACTCTGTAGCTTTCCATCTATTGAGTTCATTTAATCCACGTGGTTTACGTTGAAAATCACAGGGTACCATATTCTTAAGTGAAATTAAATATTCACTCATCATATTAATTTTAAAGCCTGGTATATGAACAGTTAATGGACCTTTATTTAGCCACAAATGTAATAATTGTCTTTGTATACCTAACCACAAATTGTGCATGTAATCAATTGAAAATACTTTGATTATGTCTATATTTGGCAAGTCAAGAAAAATTGACATTGAATCGCCTACATGATATTCTTCTTGGTCTTTGTTTTTAAAGTTATCATGTGTTCTTTTTGTGCAATTCAATTCAGGAAAACATACTTTATGTTTATAGTATATACCTTCAGTGTGGCAACGGGGACAAGAAAAATATCCACTATGATATTTAGTTTTCAAAACAAAAGCTTTAGCTGGAGTATCACAGCAGAATACGTCTAGTACAATYTCCTTTTTAATTAATTTATTATTTGTAGTCTTTATAAATATACCATTTAAAATAAGTTGCTTCATTTCTTTGAAAAATTCAGCCAAGAATATATTGGAGTCGTGTGGTTTATTATTTCCCCAGAAAATACCAATAGGAAATACAATGTTATTATTTGGCCTTATGTAGCATAAGATTGGCCAAAACACACTATTTGAACTTTTAGTTAATTGCAAACCGTCGATACCAAAGACTAACTTTATGACTGGATCTGGATTCTGGAATCTTGCTTTTCAAAATTATTTTCTGTGTCTGGAATAGAACTATGCCAGTTATCACTTACATCAGACTCATCAGAGCACTCTGAACTACTTTCGTCTCCATCAGATTCATTGGTTTCAAAAATATCATTTTGATATTCAGAAAATGTGTTGACATCTAAATAAAATATTTAATTTAATTTTAAAATCAATCAWTTTACAACTACCTTTTGTAATTCTACTTTCTATGTAAAATGTAAATTTTAGTTTGCATTATATGATGTATATAAATATAGGTGTATATTATGTAGTATAGTGTGATCACTTACCTATTTCTTGATTTGTTGATGAAAATTGTTGTTTKAAATTAGAATGTACACTTTCTGTATCATCCGATAGTTCTGATTCTATACTCTGTGATTCATTTTCATATAGAGCAGTTTCTTCAATAATATTATCTAATAGTTCTTCCTCAAAGTTTTGTAATTCTGCTTCTAGTTTTCTACGCTTGGTTGACTTACTGGATGTCATATTGTCAATTGTAATAATATCAGTATATGTACAAAATAACACTATACTATATTAACAATTGTAGCGTTAGTGTTATTATTACGATAAAATGCAATACATAATACACATATACGAACAATTACGTATCTACTTAGTATTATTTTGTTATGTTATATTATTTTATATTATATTTATTATTATGCGGGTTGCTACTACTGCCACGATGATGTACTACCACGATAACATAATACCACGAACATATTACTCCGAATATAAAATGTTACGAATGCAACTAGTCCGATATTATACTATCACGATAACATAATGCTCCGAACAATTATTACTCCGAATATTATAAAAATTTACAGATAACAATACTAGTCCGATATTATACCATAGAATATTCTATGATTATACATTTATACTATTACGATAAA